CAGCTCATCAGTCTGAAACCCACATTACGTATCTGATATTAACACAGCTGACCGCCTTCAGGAAAGGGAGTAATGGCCAGCTGGGGAGGAGAGATGCGGCTCTCCTCAACCCCGCTGGTGGTCTTCCCCCTCTTCACCACCTCTACGGGGTGGCTTAGCCCCGAAACCAGCCGGCTCGAGGCGCTCCAGTGGCGAACACAGATCGAAGCCTTGCAGAGACAAGGTCTCGGTCTGTTGCCGAAGAAGCTCAAAGCGGAAGAGCTCTTTTTTTTTCTTATATGTATCCATGTATTCATAACTATGTTTATACTATTATCTTGTAAGCAATTGACAAATCAAATAAATAAAATAAAATAAATAAATAGATACATTGAGGCTGGGTGTGACAAGGAATGGCTGGGAGGGGAGGAGCCAGGTAAGGCTCTTTCAACCAATATGTTCTGGAGCTGATTTTGTTTAACTGTGTTATGTTAATCTGTTTACCTGATGAAGAGATCTTAGAAATTCCAAAATTAGCATCTCATTTTCTAAAGTACATTGATCTAATAAAGATCCTTCTACATCTTTTTCTTTTAGCCAATATAACTGCTTCATAGCTGATTTAATTGTTATTCTCTTTAGCCTAGATTATAACAGGAATGAAGTGTTAAGTTTTTGACTAGGCATTGAATTCCAGAGTCTGAAATTTAACTCAAATGCATGTAGATACTTTTAAAATATAAAGATATGTAATTCTAATCCTATTGGGAATTATTGAAGGAAAATATAATAAAGGAATGATACATCTAATGTTGCATGTTATAACTGCTGCAAGATTGGTGTATGCCCAAAACTGGAAGAATGTAAATATCCTCGAGGAAAGTGAAATAATAAAGAAAATGTTGGCCTGTGCAGAGATGGACAGGCTAACACTAGAAATTAAAGATAAGAGTGAGACAGAATATTACGAAGTCTGGAACAAAATGTATCAATGGTTAGACTTGAAGAAAGGAAGTTGGAACAAAAAAAAAGATTGTGACGCTTTATAAGGCTAAAGGTGGAAGATATTAAAGCTAAAGACAATGTAATATAGTGGATATAACAACTATGTAAAAAGAACGTGCAAGGGAACTATGTTGTAAATAGGAAAAAATACACTGCTCAAAAAAATAAAGGGAACACAAAAATAAGACATCCTAGATCTGAATGAATGAAGTATTCTTATTAAATACTTTGTTCATTACATAGTTGAATGTGCTGACAACAAAATCACACAAAAATTATCAATGGAAATCAAATTTAGCAACCCATGGAGGTCTGGATTTGGAGTTACACTCAAAATAAAAGTGGAAAAAAACACTACAGGCTGATCCAACTTTGATGTAATGTCCTTAAAACAAATCAAAATGAGGCTCAGTAGTGTGTGTGGCCTCCATGTGCCTGTATGACCTCCCTACAATGCCTGGGCATGCTCCTGATGAGGTGGCAGATGGTTTCCTGAGGGATCTCCTCCCACACCTGGACTAAAGCATCCCCCAACTCCTGGACAGTCTGTGATGCAACGTGGCGTTGGTGGATGGAGCGAGACATGATGTCCCAGATGTGCTCAATTGGATTCAGGTCTGGGGAACAGACGGGCCAGTCCATAGCATCAATGCCTTCGTCTTGTAGGAACTGCTGACACACTCCAGCCACATGAGGTCTAGCATTGTCTTGCATTAGGAGGAACCCAGGGCCAACCTCACCAGCATATATATGGTCTCACAAGGGGTCTGAGGATCTCATCTCGGTGCCTAATGGCAGTCAGGCTACCTCTGGCGAGTACATGGAGGGCTGTGCGGCCCCCTAAAGAAATGCCACCCCACACCATTACTGACCCACTGCCAAACTGGTCATGCTGGAGGATGTTGCAGGCAGCAGAACGTTCTCCACAGTGTCTCCAGACCCTGTCATGTCTGTCACATGTGCTCAGTGTGAACCTGCTTTCATCTGTGAAGGGCACAGGGCGCCAGTGGTGAATTTGCCAATCTTGGTGTTCTCTGGCAAATGCCAAACGTCCTGGATGGTGTTGGGATGTAAGCACAACCCCCACCTGTGGACGTCAGGCCCTCATACCACACTCATGGAGTCTGTTTCTGACCGTTTGAACAGCCGCATGCACATTTGTGGCCCGCTGGAGGTCATTTTGCAGGGCTCTGGCAGTGTTCTTCCTGTCCCTCCTTGCACAAAAGCGGAGGTAGCAGTCCTGATGCTGGGTTGTTGCCTTCCTACAGCCTCCTCCACATCTCCTGATGTACTGGCCTGTCTCCTGGTAGTGCCTCCATGCTCTGGACACTACGCTGACAGACACAGCAAACCTTGCCACAGCTCGTATTGATGTGGCATCCTGGATGAGCTGCACTACCTGAGCCACTTGTGTGGGTTGTAGACTCCATCTCATGCTATCACTAGAGTGAAAGCACCACCAGCATTCAAAAGTGACCAAACCATCAGCCAGAAAGCATAGGAACTGAGAAGTGATCTGTGGTCACCACCTGCAGAACCACTCCCTTATTGGGGATGTCTTGCGAACTGCCTATGCTTTCCACCTGTTGTCTATTCCATTTACACAACAGCATGTGAAATAGATTGTCAATCAGTGTTGCTACCTAAGTAGACAGTTTGATTTCACAGAAGTGTGATTGACTTGGAGTTACATTGTGTTGTTTAAGTGTTCCCTTTATTTTTTAAGCAGTGTATATATGTAAATAGCACCAACTTAGTGATGTAGAAAAAGGAAGAGATCAGTTGTTATATGTGGTTTTATGTTTTAGCATGTATGACAAAATAACTGCCAGGAAGGTCGCACTGTGTTCAACTGTTTTAATGTTTATTCAATAACATTTTTCTTAAAAAAATAATTCTAGTTGAAAACCAAAAGTAAAATTTCTAAAACATCAAGCAAATACAGGGTACAAAGTCTTTCTCCCTTTCAGCTGAATACAATGAAACTTTTAGAATGTAGCAATTTAACTGAAAACTAAATTCAATAAGCAGGCTATTAGCACTGAGCTGATCTATGTCTCACTAAACATTTTTTGTAGTTTTTTTTATAAAACATATAGTTTTGGAAAAAAAAATAGGGAAAGCTTGTAGTAGAATATTCAACCATAGTTATGATTTCCAAAGAAAACATGGTCCTTTACTTGTAAAAGATTCCAATTAGTTCCAACAAGCATGGTAATTTTAGCTGAACCACAATTCAAGGTCATAGCAGCAATTCATTCAAATGTAGAGAGACAGTAAAAGCTGTCAATGTGAAAGTATTTTAAGATCCCATTTCCACTGCTTCAGAATGAAATTTGATGGTTACCCTAATAGACATATGAAGGAGCCATCTGGCATTAGGGGTAGCATAGCCATCATAAGCTGAAAAATTTCAAGATATTTGAAGTAGCAGTTCATTTCTTATCTAAGCCCTATTTTAAACATTCTTTATCAAAAGCCCAAATCTGCCACTTGCACAACTTTAGTTTTTTTCAGCCTTTTTAAAAAAGTTCTGGACCTTAAGTATTTAAAATTCCTATCCCTCCCATATGAAGTGCATTTTTGGATGTAGTGCCTTGCTGTTTTATTTTAAAGATATGTGACGCTTCAACTTCAGAAGCTGTGAACATCAGCAATGTCCATGTACTCTGTGATAACAAGTGACAAGACTTAAATAGCAGCAGATTACACCCTCTTCCAAAATAGCTGTATGACACAAAACTCACATTCTAACATGGAAGGTTTACGTCAATGCTTCCAGAGGTGGGCTGCTGCCGGTTCGCACTGGTTCAGGCGAACTGGTAGTTAAGATTCTGTGCAGTTCGACGAACTGGCAAATCCCACCACTGGCTGATCCTGCCCCTGCTCATTTTTTGGCCTGTTTTCCAGGGTGTTTTCTGGGCATTTTGGGGTCATTTTCAGACCATTTTGGGGGCAGTTATCAAGCCATTTTTGACCCATTTGGGGGCATTTTTTGGCCATTTTCAGACCATTTTTCTGTAAATCTATGTGGTTGTTTTTCAATCTGGCTGTTTTTAACAAGGTGGATTTACAGGTGCTGCAAGAGGACAATTTTGATTTTTAAAGGGATCAGAAATGATTTATTTTAGTTGATATGTGATTCACAATACCCTGTACCCTTTCCAAATGTCTTTCCTTGGAGAAATAGTTTCCACTGCTACTTATATTCTTAGAAAGATACAAGTAGTTTTTTTTTCTTATTTGACCCTAAATTAAACTAAAATCCTAGTAGGTTGGCTTACTATACATTGAAAACTAGTTTTCAGTAAAGGTCACATAATATACTTTAATGATTTTCTTAAATATTCTGTGCCCCAATCACTAAAACAATATTGTCAAGGTATTGAGATTTAAGAGCTGACCAGCTGTTGTAAAGCTGTTGTCAGGCTGATGCAATGAGGATGAATCAGTATGGTTATTGCCGCTTTAAGACTGAGGATGGGTCCCACAGGGTTTTACCACTTTAAGAAGCTGTATATATATTTGAGGCCATGAGAGGGTGTATCTCTCTCTCCTTGTGTTCTGTCTCCATTGTGGTTCTCCATGCAGAGTAAAGATTGCTTGCTTGCCAGGTATTTGCCTACCATGTATATGTATGTATATAGCTGTCTTGTATATAAACCACTGTTAAAAGATAAAGCCACTGTGTTTTGCTTCTGGGTTGTCTCACAATAGTAGCCATGCTGCAAACACTCTGACAAATATGAAGTAACTTGTGCTGCATAGAAAATAGAGAATTCCCCCATTTCAAGGAGAAACCCTACACATAGCTTTTAAAAAGCCAAATTACAGTGATCTACATAAATGCAAAATATAAAGGGCTACCAAATATTGAATGGGTTGATTCATACCATAGCTTGACAAGCCTGTGTAGGCTAGCAGGGCAATAGAACGAAGAAGTGGGGAGCAGGCCAGCGTGCAGTAGATGATTGGTAGAGCACCTGTGTGGAAAGAGACAATCAGTCTACCAAGAAACTAAGGATAAAAACAATGTCAATCAGCTTACATGGTCAGTCACTACAGGTAGTCTGCAACCACAATGGAGACTGGTATTTTGTAAGTCACTGCTGCATAAATCAAGGCATCATGTGACCAGACTCAATTTTACAACCTTTTTTACAGCAGTTAGAAAGCAAGGCAATGCAGAGGTTAAGCGAATCATTTGGTTGTACCACATGGTCATTAAACAAATCCAGCATATCCGGTGGGCCAGTGGTGGGATTTAATTTTTTTTACTACCGGTTCTGTGAGCATGGCTTGGTGGGCGTGGCAGGGGAAGGATGCTGCAAAATCTCCAGTCAGAGGTGGTATTTGCAGGGTTCTCTGAACTACTCAAAATTTCCGCTACCAGTTCTCCAGAACTGGTCAGAACCTACTGAATACCACCTCTGCAGTGGGCATTGTTTTCTGTTTTCTGCTGGAAAATGGCAAAAAAGTTCCAAATTGTGATCACATGACTGTGGGACATTGCAACCAGTCACAAATGTTTGGTTGCCAAGGGCCTGAAATTCAATCATATGACCTCATAAGAATGCATACAGGAGTCATAACTTTGATAATGGGTCATAACTTTTTTAAAGTCTATTGTAAACAGTTGTTAAGCAAGGACTACATGTAGCACTCTTGAAATATTTCAGCTGTCCTTCAGATTCTCTCAGAACAAACAGTCTTGTATTTACAACAATAGAAAACCCACTTTTCTCCAAATAATCTCTACAAAGGATCATTCACTGAAAATATGTTTTTCATTGTTTTAAATTCAGTTTCTTTTAAGTCAGCATGAGTATTTTCTTTCCAAGCTTAACCAGAACTCTCACTTCTACACCCCTCTTACCTTTTCTTCATTATTGAGCTTTTAGCCAAGATGGCTTCTGTAATCACATAAAGATTGGCTCTTCAGTACCCAAAGCCAACACAATTTGGCTCATATACCCTCTATACAACCTGCTCCCGGCTCAAAAAATACCACTTTCAGTCCTCCTGTGTTCTCATTACACATTGCAATGTTGTATCTTTTTTTCTCCTCCAATCCAGTAAGTCATCCATGGATAACAAAGGAGCACTTTAACTTACCCAAAGTATTGACCATGCATACTCCACACATACCCAGGGTGAGCAAGGTATGGTAAACAGCAGGGCCTCTCTCATGATTCATGAAGAGATGGTAAAGCACGCTGCCCATCTGTGGAAAAATGCAAGCCAAATAGTGCACAACTCCCAGCCATGATTCTGAAAGTTGAGCCCATGGAATGGTCAGTGGCAGCACAAAGAGAAACCCCAGCAGAGGGATACCTGAAAGAAGAGGAAAGAAAGAACTGAGAGAGAAAGGATTATTAGAGTCCAATTAGGGATAGTACCAGAGAGCCCTGCCTCTTTTTGCAATCCTAACAGCATTTCCTGCATCATATTCCACCCATAACATGTTTGCCCCAAGCAGCATCCTTTGTTCATCAGCTGTCACAGAGCAACAATGAAAAAAATTTCATGGACCCAGAAATTGCACCAAAACATTTTTTTTATAAAAGTTTTTTATTTTTATAACAACAAAAAACAAACATATAAAACCTTCTTTCTGTTCCACAGTGTGTCCGTTGGGTACATATTTCTTCGTGCATAAAATAATGTTATTGTATTTAACTTGTATAAGCTTATATTTAACTTGTATATGATTATAATCATTCTAATTAGTATATCGCATATATCACTTATTCTATTATCCTTAGCTTTATAATTACTGACTTTCAATAATAGATTTCAAATTCATTTTCTTACTCTATCTAACTCATCCATTTATCAATAACAATATATTATACTGTACTTTTTTAATAATTTTTTTATTATTTTTCAATAAACAAACATACACAAACAAAACACAAAACATGAAAACATAAAACTTCTTTTTGGAAAGCGGCTTAGTCCCGGGTTACATCTTTTTGTACAGACATAAATCAAATTCATGCTCACTTTATATACCATTTCATATCTTATTTACCATTCTACATTTTCTATATAATGTTGTGACTGGAAGGATCGATCCTGCTGGGAGTTTTGACTCTGATG